CTTAGGAGTAAGCCGCAGGAGGGACCCGGCTTGTTTACAGCGGCTCCACTTACCCGGTTGGGAGGCCAGAGGCTGAGCCCCAGTGGCCAGATACTCATGGACCGGTCTCCCACCCTCAGGCAGCACTAGCCCCTCTGAGCGCAGGACCCCCTCCCCAAGGACATGAAGCTGTTGGAGAACTCGAGCTTCGAAGCCATCAACTCGCAGCTGACAGTGGAGACTGGAGACGCCCACATCATTGGCAGGTGAGGTGGGGGGTTGTGTAGGCTGGTGTCTCAGAGACCCTTGAGTTGAACCTGATGGGTGGCATGCTCCGTGGTCCCACGTGCCCCTTGCAGGATCGAGAGCTACTCGTGTAAGATGGCGGGAGACGACAAGCACATGTTTAAGCAGTTCTGCCAGGAGGGCCAGCCCCACGTGCTGGAGGCGCTGTCTCCACCCCAGACGTCGGGCCTCAGCCCCAGCAGGTAAGCTGCCGCAGAGCGTGCCTGCTGTGGGCTGTGGGGTTCAGGGCAGTGCTGGGCTGATGCTTCTCTCTCTGCAGACTGAGCAAGAGCCAAGGTGGTGAGGATGAGGGCCCGCTGAGCGACAAGTGCAGCCGCAAGACGCTCTTCTACCTGATTGCCACGCTTAACGAGTCCTTCCGGCCTGACTATGACTTCAGCACAGCCCGAAGCCATGAGTTCAGCAGGGAACCCAGCCTCAGCTGGGTGAGGGTCAGGTGGGGGGAGGGACCCGCAGCCCCACAGCTATCTCGACTGTCCTTCCGACTTATAGTGGCCCCTGGGTTCTGCCCAGTTCATGCCTCCCGTTCTGCGTCCTAGCCAGTCCCAACCGTGACCATCCTAGGTGGTGAACGCAGTCAACTGCAGCCTGTTTTCGGCCGTACGGGAGGACTTCAAGGCCCTGAAGCCGCAGCTCTGGAACGCAGTAGATGAGGAGATCTGCCTGTCCGAGTGTGACATCTACAGGTGGGCCGGCATTCCTGCAGGAGGGCCGTGGGTGTATGTGGCACTTGGGCCTTCATGCCACTTCTTGCCCCACGCTCTGCAGTTACAACCCGGATTTGGACTCAGACCCCTTTGGGGAGGATGGCAGCCTCTGGTCCTTCAACTACTTCTTCTACAACAAGCGGCTGAAGCGGGTCGTGTTCTTCAGCTGCCGGTCCATCAGGTGGGCGCCTGGCCGCCTCCTTTCCCTTAGCCCCTGCTTTGTCACATGCCACTTCCCCAGCTGTACCCACCCCGCTCCTGACTTTGTCCTCCCTGGGGTCAGCAACGGGTCAGGGACAGGCAGTCCTAAGACCCGTTCCCACACCTCCCCCAGCGGATCCACGTATACTCCCTCGGAGGCCGGCAACGAGCTAGACATGGAGCTGGGCGAGGAGGAGGAGGAAGAGGAGGAGGAGGAAGAAGAGAGCGGAAGTGGAGGCAGTGAGGGCGGACCCGAGGAGACCAGCGCCATGGAGGAGGACAGGTGTGTGACGGTGGCTGTGGCCTGGCTCTCTGTAGCCAGGGGTCGATAGCACAGAGTGGGTGCCTCTCTGCCTGACCTCCTGGGAGTTGGCTCTGGAAGCTCACTGTGTGCCGTCTTCTGCCCAGGGTCCCGGTGATCTGTATGTGAGGACGAGGAGCAGAGGCCCCAGCTTCGTTCAGCTTCAGCCAGTGCCTGGAACCCTCACTTGAGGGTGCCCCAAGGCCTCCCCAGCTGGTGGTCATCCCGGGGCTTGCCAAGGCTGCAGCGCCGCCCGAGGCCACGCCCACCTAGCCCTTTGGCTCCCGCCTGCAGACGTCTGCTCACCCCCACGGGCTCCAGCTGCCCATGTTGTGGTCGGGCTGGACAGCACAGGGCCTGGTGGGAAGAGCCACTGCCCTGCCCCGACGAACCGACACAGGCAGGGACAGCTGGACTACAGAGTTTATTTTTGTATTTCGTGCCGGATCAGGCCTGGGCCTGCACACTCCAGCCCAAAGGGCCCGAGACCCAGTAAGCAGGCCCCTGCGGTCACCACGCCGGGCTTGGCCAGCCCCTGACGCCCACCTGTACCACCCTCCCCCCGTACCCTGCCCGTTGGGCAGCGTGCACTGAGTGTCACTTTGCTGCAGCTGGTTTGTTTCCAATAAAAAATTTCTGTGATTTAGTGGGGACCTGGGCTCCGTGCTGCGTGTGGGGCGGGGTCTGCGTCAAGGGCGGGGCTACTGCCTCCGGTATCCTAGCAACGGTCCTAGGGGCTGTTGAGCGGCCCGGACCTGCAGAGGCCAAAATGGAGACCGGAGTGTCAGATGTCAGCAACCCCTTTTCAGTAGAAGGTGACAGCCTGATCCTGGGTCTCGACTTGTATGATGCCGACAGCTATGACGTCCCGGATCCAGGGCTGCTCAAGGAGAAGAATGGTGAGGTGGCCTGGCCTCGCAGCCCCAGATCCCCACGTGACAGGCCTCACTCAGGCACCGGTTCTGTCTGCCGCGACACAACGCTCCGTGGGGAGTCCCCTAACCTGGCGAGGCACTCGGGAGGGCCCCTGGCTGCCTACAGCCTCCAGAGTTTGGGGCCCAAGACCACACATCGACAGTGTTTCCACTGCTGACCCGCAGAGTCGTTTTCGGAGCCAGTCCCGGGGCTTTTTACCAGCAGCTTGCGGTGGCAGAACATGACCCCGCGCGCCCGTGCCCGCCAGCTATGGCTACTCCTGCGTACAGGCCTCCGTGACTTCGTGGAAAAGGTGGGGCTTGCCTGTGGCACCTGCCTCGAGGCCTCTTTTCTGGCCCATTTCTTCCCCTCGCTGTCCCTAGGATGCCCCCAGCCCGGATCCCCTTGGCTCCCCTAGGCAGGGGCACTACCTCTCCTCCAGCACCCCCCCTCCCCCAGCTGAATGCAGGCCTGCTCGCCCCTGCCCGCAGGAAAAGAGAGCCGAGCTGTGCGTGGGCCGCTTGACACACGGGCTGGAGCCGCTGCGCCGCCTGACGGTGGCAGCTGGGCTGCGCTCAGTGGCGCAGGACCCAGCGGGCAGACGCTTCGTGGTGCTGGATGGTGCGGGCCGCCTGCACCTGCACAGAGAAGACGGCTGGGCTTACGAGAAGCTATGTGCCCCAGCAGTGCTCACGGGGCTGGTGGCGGTGCCAGGCCCTCTGGGTGCTGTGGGCCGCTTTGTGGGCTGGGGCCCCGAGGGGCTGGCCATACTAAGGCCTGACCTCAGCCTGCTGTGGCTGAGCAAGCCAGGGGTGGGCAGGGTGCCGGGCCACCAGCCCGTCTGCTGTCTGCCGGTGCCCAGCCTGGGGCTGTTGCTGGTGGCAGAGGAAGGAGGCAGCCTGGTGCTCTGGAAGTTCCGTTCAGGAGGCCGCTGCCTGGTGCCGTGTGGGTCACCTCTGCAGCTGCCACCAAGCCCTGCAGGTGCAGTCACCCGTTTGGTTCTCGGGCCCTTGCCCTCCCACCAAGCCCCATGCTGCTTCGCGGCCTGTGGCTCGGCTGTGCTCACCTTTGCTCTGGACAGCTGGGCTCTCGTAGACGTGCGCCGGGACCTGCATAAAACGTGAGGGGTGTCTAGGGACTGGGAGGAAGGTGGGGTGAGAGAGGACGGGTGAATCCAGGAGGGAAAACAAGTCATGGAGGGGCGCCGGGGCTCACACACCAGGGGGTGCTGAGTCTGCGGAGGCCTCTCTTCCCCTTCAGCACCATCTCGGACCTGGCCTACTGCAAGGAGGTAGAGGCCATGGTGACGGCTTCTCGAGACAGCACAGTGAAGGTGTGGGAGGCCGACTGGCAGGTCCGGATGGTGTTCGTGGGCCACACAGGTGCGCCATACCACTTAGGCTCTTGAGGCCCGTTCTCTCTCCACCCTGTGTAAGAGCTCCGGCGGTGGGGAGTCTCCGTCAGCCCTTCCCCGAGCTTCTCTGCACCGGCTGCATCCTGGGCCGCCTGCTCCCCTTCCCTGATCCCCTGGTGCCCCTCCCACAGGCCCAGTGACAGCTGTGGCCGTGCTGCCAAACACCGCCCTAGTCCTGTCAGCCTCGCAGGATGGGACGCTGCGCACGTGGGACCTGCAGGCGTCAGCACAGGTGGGCGAGGTGGCGCTGAGCAGCCGGGGCCGAGGGGTGCCATCTGGGCACGTGAACCGCCTGCTGGCGCCCGCTGGCCCCGGCTGGCCAGTGCTCTCTTTGAGCGCGAGCAGCGTGGAGCTGTGGCTCCTTCGCGAGCTCTACTCGCCGTTGGCGCAGCTGTCAGCGCAGGTGCTCCACCTGCAGACCGCGCCCGCGCTGCCCGCGCCCGCGCACCCGCCGCTGCCTATGCGCCTTGTGTGCGCATGCGCCGATGGCTCGGTCTACCTCGTGTCGGTCGCCACCGGGCGCACGGTGAGCGCGCTGCTGCTCGAACCGGAGGACGGCGCAGCCTCGCTGCTTTATTGCCTACCGCGCGAAGCACTGTGGCTGCTGACACGCGCCGGACACCTGGTGTGTGCCAACGCTGCACGATGCCCCATGCGCGTGCTAAACCGGGTGTGCCCGCCCCCGGCCCCTGCGCCCAGGCCCTGCTGCCTGCACCTATACAGCCACCTCACAGACCCCAGCAGCGCATTCGCCAGCTGGCAGATCGTACGCCAGCATGGGGGCGAGCTGTGCCTCGGTGACCTGGCCCGACCCCGGAAGGACAAAAACCGGTGGGTGCCGGAGCCGCCCACGTGGGGCAAGGTGATGGTGCCCGCGCCCACTGGCTAATGTCACGCGTAGGTACCTGCCCGTGGTGGGGCACACGGATGGCACCCTATCGGTCCTTGAGTGGCGCTGGTCGAAGCCCGTCTTCCAAACCGAGGCACACAGCCCGGGCCCCGTCACCGCCATTGCATCTACCTGGAACTGCATCGTGTCCTCTGGTCAGCATCTCTCCTCCCCCCAGGGGGCTGGCCTGGGAACCCCTTCCCTCCCCAGACAAAGGCGCAGTCCTGCCTCCCACCTGAGCAGGCGGAGACTTGACCGTGAAGATGTGGCGTGTCTTCCCCTATGCTGAGGAAAGCCTCTGCCTGCTGCGAACCTTCTCTTGCTGCCACCCGGCGACGGTGCTCTGCGCTCTGGGGAAGCGGGTGACTGTGGGCTTTGAGGACCCAGACAGCGCCACCTACGGCCTGGTGCAGTTTGGCCTGGGCAACAGCCTCCGCTACGATCACCGGCCCCAGGATGACCCCACGGACCACATCACTGGTGAGGGGCAGGCCAAAAATAAAGCCCAGGCCATCCTCTGGCCCTGGTCCCTCACGCTGAGCCCTGGTCCCTCAGGCCTGTGTTGCTGTCCCACACTCAAGCTGTATGCCTGTTCCAGCCTGGACTGCACCGTCCGCATCTGGACAGCCGAGAATCGCCTGCTGAGGTGGGTTGGGGCTGGGAAGGAGTGTGTGTGTGTGTGGGGGGGGTTGGGAGCCTGTCGGCAGCCAGCAGGGCTCCCCTACCTCTGCCCCCAGCAGAGCCCAGAGGCTGGACAGGGGAAAGGGGGCTTGCCCCTGCTAGTGTCTCAGTTTCCTCCTCTGGAGCAGGGCTGGATTCTCGCCCTGGCCACTCCCTTCAGGCTCCTGCGGCTGAATGGCGCCCCTCAGGCCCTGACCTTCTGCAGCGACAGTGGGGACCTGGTGCTGGCTCTGGGCTCCCGACTCTGCCTGGTGTCCCATAGGCTCTACCTGCCCACATCTTACCTGGTTAAGGTATGCAGTGGGCACAGGATTCCTGGGCAGAGTGAGGCTGCTGTGGGCAGACAGGCCCCCCCAGGCCAGAGCTGTAGGTTTCTTTCTCCTGTTCAGAAGCTATGCCGGAAGGTCCCTGATGTGGTGGATGACCCTCCCCTGCCACTGACCACCCAGGAGTCGCTGACCTCAGCCCAGCTGCAGAGGCTCGCCAGCTTACGTGGGGTGGCCAGTCTTAGGTCTGCTGGCCCAGCTGAACTGTTCTAGAGGCCCCTGCCTAGCTCCCCCGAGTCAGGGCCTGGCTGCGTGCACCCAGCACGGGGACCCAGAGCTCCCAGGCCACTTAGACCACCCCAACCTGTCCCAGCCCTGGCATCCCCACTCCTGGCTGTTGGGCTGTGTTCTGACAGAGGCCTGGCCATGCCCACCCCCAGGTGCTGGTCCCAGCCTCTGCCCAGTCCCCCTGGTGATGACAGCTAGTGTCCCACCTGTGCCCATCCCTGTCTGCAGCACGGACTTGTCTTTCATCCATCACCAGACGGCCACATCTCAGCAGCCAGTGTTGGAGGAGGTGGGGTGGGTCCCAACCCCCAACCCC